AATATAAAATAACTCAAAAAGTACTTAATGAAAAAATACTTTATTGTAGTGTTTTGAAAAGCTTTCGAGATAAGCTACAAGAATATGCAATAAAAAATGGGGGGTTCCATTTAAGAAAATATCGATCACATTGACTTGGCCTTGAAAAGGTCACTCAAGGTCAAGTCCATATTTTCATCATGTGTCCCCCTCTGAACCCTACAACCTTTGTATAAAACATTTTTTTTTCATCTTGCTTACTTTACGAGATATTTGCGTGCGTCGATTAAAATGACTCACCCTGTATATAAAATGTCAGTTTGATATTAACGACTATCTCGGGCAATGAAAGAATTCAATAATACTTCTCACATATGTCGAAATGGGAAGTTTTTAATATAGATGTAAAAAATTTGAAGCTGGAGAAAGAGAGAATCAAAAACGTTATTTTCGACTTCACATCCGCGTGCGTTCTAAATTAATATTCATTTTTTTTTATTCCCATAAAAATTTTTTTAAGCGTGGAATTTATACAGCGAGTTGCTTCTATAACGATGTTATATGTGAATTTCTCAATTTTCCATCGCTGCGCGATATTGTTTTACGCGATACGACCGAGGAGAAAGGAACCGAGATAGGACATCGCGAAGAATGTATGAACAGGAAACTGAGTGAGAGAAAAAAGCTAGAAAAGGACATGTGTCTCCAGTTCTATGCTATAATTATAATATGTTCCTTAAAAATTGCATATAATACGATTATATAAGGCGATTTGGTGTGTTCGTCGAATGATTTTTTATGACGTAGCATTGCGTATTATCGCGTTCTTATCGCACGTACGTGTAAGATTAGATTAAACCGTGCAAGGGTCTTCATCGATCGCCCAAAATCCCGTTTGCGCATCATCCGATTTCTTTTTCTCTCTCTCTCTCTCTTTCTCTTTCTCTTTTCCAATATTTACCCGTAATAAGTTATTACGTATAATATTACATATGCACCAGTTATAACGTCGGATCAATGATGTAAAACGATTATCACTTTCGTCAATAAGATCGTAACGTGGAAAGCGTAACGCGAGAGTTAATCATCTGTTGCGAAAAAGATGTAGAAGACTATCGTTAGTTTATACATACGAATTTTTGAAACACGATTGAATCGAATCGAGTGACGTGTCATTTCATCGTTCGTTCGGGTCGATGACCGTCCGGTGAAATCCACGAGGTGTGCAAACCGCGCTTCCTTGACGACTATCATTATCGAACATTGGTCATAAGCCGCTAATGGCAGTTGAAAGATAATTGACTAGCGACATCGACGGTTGGCTAGCGTCCGCGTGATTGAAATTTCATTTCAATGCGTGTTCTTACGCGTGTGTAATGCCATTGTTTGAGAACCAAGCTATATCGATTTGATTTGATCGCGACAATGAAATGGCGAAAAGATTTTTTACGACACGAAGAAAGGAGGAGAAAGAGATCATTATTCTACACGGGATAATGTGACAGATACATTATTTCGTTTAGAAAGATGTCGATGAATATTTTTTAAATATTGTATGCATATATTAAAGAAGATTTTCCAAACATTCAAGTTTTAAGGTATATTTTCAAGAATTTTTCAAAAATTTTTCTTTTTGAATATAATATTCGAAGCAATTCGAATCGATAAAATTATTGAAAACTTTCAAAAAGAAGACTCGGACGCCTATCGCTAGACGTCCATTGGACAGATTAGGGGATTTTTCTATCAGACTGCAAAGAACATATAACGACCAACATTGTTGCGCAACGAGTAGCTATATATGTATAAAAGGTGAAGGATACGAAAAAAAAAGATTCGTAATGGTCACCGATATACGACATCCGACAGCTTTTTTCGCAAAGATGGCACCAAGCCATTTTCTCGCTCTATTATTATCAATTCGCAAAAAACCAACATTCGCAAGAAGCGAAGAGAGATCATAAGATAGAGTCAATTCCAGATCGTGCTTTTAGCTCTCAAGGATCTCTCTCATTCTTTTAACTTCCTACATACGATTAACCATCGCGATATCGCACGATACGATACGATAAATTACGTGTCCTGCCTTCATTACATTATATATAGACGCGTAAATAAAAAAGTATACATATATACGCGCTTTTTCTCGTGTCTCGCGAAAACGTCACCGCATCGATCGTGCGACATCGGTGGCTCGCTTTCCCGGCTCGTAACAGGATTGTCCGATTGTTGTGTGCATCAACCGTGTTATACCGTAAAGTTGTATATGTCGTATCTCGAAATTAATGAAATAATTATAGCTTGTTTTATGGCGTATTCAAAAGCGACGCAAAACATTTGACGGCGATTCATAAAAATTATTCCAATAAGAAATACAAGTTTTTCCATATGCTCTTTTGGAAACATAATATTATTACGCGTATAGCAAGAAAAGAAAATAATGACAAAAATCTCAATTTACTTGTAGAAGTATTTGAATCGTATCTGAATCGAGAGAAGGCGATGCACTTTTCTATGGCGCGCATAAACTGGCGTCCGCGCGTAGATTGTGTACATCTACACCGTAGGTAGGTAATTACGGTAAATAACGATACCGTCTCGTAAACTCGCGCGCTGCTTTACTTCATATACTAACGCTCTATCGACTATTGTTCGACTTTCTATACGCGGCTGGTTCGCGTCCTCTCTAACGCTTAGCGAACTCGTGCAGGCGAATATTTATTTAATTTATGTATGTATGGATTGATGTCGTAATCCGAGAAAAAAATAAGTATACAAAGAAGAAAGAAGATGATTCCTTCCGATTGAATTCAATGTATAACATATGCGGACATTTCTATTATTTATTGATCTTTTGTTAAGAATTTTCATTGCTGTCATAATTTTTTAGTCGCTTAAACCAATGAGAGAATTTATTAGATCAAAAGGAAATTGTCTCGATGAAATTGCCTCTTTATTTTTTTAAGATTTTTGCCCTAAAATTATGATATCTATTATAATTTTTGCGTATATGTATTTTTCGTTGAAAGATAATATATGGCTCGAACATATAAAATATTTATATCGCAGATATATAAAATCCCATTTTTTATCGCATTTGAAGATAGAATCTCTCTCTGAGATTTAAGTCAAGGAGAGAATCGTGCTATTCATCGATGAACAGCTCATGCACAGTATTAGTGCGACAAGGGAGCAGAATAAGAAATAGTAGAAAATTTTATCCGCCCTGAACAAAATAAAAGTCTGATATTTATAAACGAAAAACACGATTTGATTATACTTCCTTTTATCTAATTCTGTCGAACTTGTCTTTTTAAATAAATCTGTCTTTCAGAAGTACTCAACCGCCGATACGATTATTGCAAGTCAAAGCAATAGAATACGCGTTTTATATGTTTTTTGTACTCTGGTTCCTTTTAAATATCTAAGAAAAATAAAGATTATTTTATTTTTTATAATACCCAATTTTTATGCACTATATATATCTATATTATTTTTATTTAATAACTTTGCTTTTTTACTTGTATTTTTACATTCAAGTTTATTTTACTTAAACTTTATCTCATTTCACATCTCTTTAATTTAGTCCAATCTGTTACATGTAATTTATTGTAACTACATTTTTCATGCATCTGTGATTATGTTGCTATGTTACTATACTTTTTTTAATTGCTTGAAAGAATGCGGGCATGTTAAAATAAGATATCGTTATATTATTTGAGTATCATTCCTGC